TGGGTGCTAAAGGCCAGCTGTTGCTAGGCCAGAGTGCAGCGAGTGCAGTCCACTTGCCACGGGCCCAATGTGCCCAGGGTTGCACGGTGATTTCCAGCCTTTCCTGCCTGGCAGGTATCTTGGCGCCATTTGTATCGAACGTGTACACTTGGGACTGTTGGAGGCACGTGTTTCGCGTTTTAGCACTCTGTAGCTGCGAGGGCGTGCAAAATCGCAAAGACAGCTCCGCGTGTTTCCGATTGCTTGGCAATCCGCGAGCAATTCTTTCGTTCGAGGCTACGCCCAGGCTACCTGAACACCCCGCGTCGAACTTGAAGCATGGCTTAACTTAACATTTGCGCGATTTCAGTAAGGGTGCTGCATTGCTTCTGAGGAGATTGAAAAGACAACGCTGCAACGCCGTCACAGCCTGCTGTGCTCTGCCCAAAAGAGCAATAACACTGGAAATCAAAAGCCGGCTTCACTGCAAAGAACAACGGGAGGCTGCAGCTCCAGTGCACACGAGGTGATCTCGGATAAGCATGAGCCTGCAAAGCAGGATGAACACGACATCCCATTGTAACTACCATCTGAGGTCCGCACCAGATGCTGTCTCCAACCTGGCAAGTGGATCATTCGTTGGCCTTGAATTTGTGGGGATGATTGGTTGAGTGTCGAATACCACCCCCCTCTTGTCTTTATTAGGTCTCTGTCTGTTCCTCCTATGTGACCTATTTCCGTGAGACAGCGGGCACTGTGCCCCTCATGATTACGGCAAACAGGTGAAGAGACAAAAAGAGGCACGAAAGGGAGAAGTGTGCTTTGGAGACACGTTGGAGACACGTACAGAGCAAGATCTGTGTCCTTGTCGCTCTTCAGTCTGCCTTTATTCGTAGTTAGATCTCGTGCCGAGCTCAGAAATAGGAGTGGCATTCATGTGAGCAAGCGCCAAAACCCCCAGCCATTCAAGCAAGTAAGGGGTGGACACGAATGCCCAAAACCCGGTAAAGCGATGGGAACACTTGAAAAGCGACACCCTAAGTTAATGAGCCGTTGGGTGTGCTATAGCCTTGATTTTTTCCCAAAGCGACACCTGCAGATACCAAAACCCTGTAAAACGATGGGAACACTTGGAAAGCGACACCCTCATGTTGCGTCCATGAGCACCACCAGCCGGTTTTGGCAATCGCTCATGTTGCTCCAGCTGCGACATCCCATGTATTGTCCGGTCTGACCGTCTCAGAGTGGTGAGCGAGCATCAAAACTGTCATGATACACAAAGCTCCGTGCTCGCAAATGGTGGCCTTCCCCTTTGCACTATGCTTCGTTGCACCGACTCAAGGGCCAGGGCAGTTTCTGTTTCATGCGCTGCGGCTTCCCCCACCAGAGTTTTCAGCCGACTGTGCACCGACAGGTACGGCACTGGAACGATCTTAAAGATTAGGGTTTAAAGGCTTCTAAGTTTAGAGTAGAGGCAAGGTGTCCCAGGTGCCACCCGTTGTCGTGCACCACTTCACTAGCGAGAGTTCGCCTCAGGAAAACACGGGGTGGTGTGGGTGGGCGGACCGGGCAAGACCGCAACAAGGTCTGGCACACGAAAATCCTCCACAACAAGGTCTGGTACCCTTAAGGCTTCGTTTTTGCTTCGCCAGCGTGGGTGTTTGCGTGTGCAACCAGCTCACAAGCTGAGTTTAATTGGCTGCACTTGCCATGACCCCTCCAACTCGACAAGCCGCCCGCTGCCTTCAACGAAATGTCGTTGCCAGTGATCACAAGCCACACTGTTGCCATGCGAAGGTCAGGCTGTAGATGCACTAGAGCAACAGCCTCGAGCTATGCATGTAGACACCGTGTGTGAACATCGGCCCCTCCGGCTCCTGCACCTGCTTTCATCACAAGGAACCGGAGCCGATGATGAGAAGCACCATGACATTCGACAGGCACTAATCATAAGATCCCGGCAGCCAAGCAACTGCCGTCATGGTTGAATCATGATGGGAATCAGGATCGTCAAAAACTGCCATTTTAGATGCCCGAGCCGGAGCGCGACTGTCGCGACACGCGCTGAATACCGGCCCGCTTCGATAGCTTTGCAAGTCAAGCACAGAGGGCCACCCAGTCTGCCCCAGCGGTCCTTCACTGCGAGAGGAGCAGGTCAAGTACAGAGGGCCACCCAATCTGCCCCAGCCGTGGTCCTTCACTGCGAGAGGAGCTATCCCTGCGGCGCCTGCGCTGCTGCTCTCAACCCTTTCCTGCATCATAGAGTCATAGAGTTCATGAGTTGTCATACAGTCGAGTATTGGGGCTTTCCTCCCTTTCGCTGCTTGATAGGGCCATTGCACGTTCCGAAGGGGTGGCAGCTAGCAGCCGCATCCTGTGGGCTTCGCACGGATCCCCTAGAAGGCCTGCGCCTTCACAGAAGCACATCACGGTTGATTCCAAGGCGAGATGATTCTGATCGCAAGGCTTGTCATACCAGCCGACGCTTGACCAAGATCAAGGGGCATGCAAAGTGCTTGGCGCAATGTGCACACCAGGGAAGAACCGCACTGATCATGAATCATTCTCAGCCTTCGGAACGATGTTTGCTGCCTTTTGTTAAGAAGCCCGGAGCGGATCAGAAAGCATTGCGGCCAGTGACAACTTCTGCATGTTTCTGCATCCCCAAAAGCTTTCGCACTGACTAAGCGGTGTCGAAGGGCAAAGTACGCTAGAGGGTGCTGCAGCGCACTTTAGGCAGTTGTTCCAGGCAACGTTGCCGCAGAGGCCCAGGCGCTTCGAATTCTTTCAGGCTGATTCAGGATACTTTGGAGCATGCTCAGTTTAAAAAGTGTGGACGCTCGCAATTCTGCCCTCGGTGCCGACACAATGTGGTTGGCTGACTTCGGCTTGCATCGAGTCGCGGCGGTGCAACACTTTCAGTCGCGCATTGCAAAAACAGGATGCTTGCAGGCGTCTACATGCACGAAGGCAAACAAGCGCACCGTTCAGAGGCCTCGTCTAGTCTTGCCCGCTGCAGGCAACAGGCAGAAGATCTGCGATCCCTTCCCTAGAAAGTCTGCGTTTTTAAGATGCCAAGGCGATATAGAGCTAGTGTGGACAGGCGTGGATGCTGGCAGTTCTTCCTTCAGTGCCGACACAGTGGGGTGTGCTCACTTTGCCTTGCATCAGAGGTGGAACCCTGCCACCAGTCAGAGCGGTGCTACAACAGGCTGTTTGCAGGCGTCTACGGCGTCGACATGCACGATGGCAAGCAAGCGCACCGTTCAGAGGCCTCCACCAGACTTCTCGAGCCCGCTGCAGTCAGCAAGCAAAAGATCCGAGGTCCCTTCCCTAGAAGGTCTGCGCTGTCTGCCCTCAATAGTGCTTGTTTGCATTGCGCCACCCGCAGAAGCAGGAGTGGCCTTGTGTTCGGATTGGAACCCAGCATTGCTTTCCACTAGACTCCTCGCGCCCGCTGCGGTCAACAAGCAGAAGGTCTCAGATCCCTTTCTAAAAGGTCTGCGCCTTCACAGAAGCACCTTAGTTAGGGTTCTGTAGAAGAGCTCTATGACGCCAAAGGCGAGATAAAGGTGGTCTCAGGGCTTGTCATGCCAGCCGGCGCTTGATTGCTTTGCGCTGAGGACAGCACGATCTCGTTGTTGCAGCTGGCTGTTACACTAAGCTCTAAACCTAAATCATAAATCCCGTCCCTAGAAGGTCTGCGTCTTCACAGAAGCACATCGGGGTTAGAAGAGTTGTATGACGCCAAGGCGAGATAATGGCGACTGCAGGGCTCATGCCAGCCGGCGCTTGATTGCTTTGCGCGGAGGATGCCGCCTTCTCAGAAGCACTGCCGGCCTGCAGGAGGCAGACTTCGGCTAGCATCGAGTCGCAGCGGTGCAGCATTTTCAGTCGCGCATTGCGGCTACAACAGGATGTTCGCAGGCGTCTACATGCACGAAGGCAAACAAGCGCACCGTTCAGAGGCCTCGTCTAGTCTTGCCCGCTGCAGGCAACAAGCAGAAGATCTGCGATCCCTTCCCTAGAAAGTCTGCGTTTTTAAGATGCCAAGGCGATATAGAGCTAGTGTGGACAGGCGTGGATGCTGGCAGTTCTTCCTTCAGTGCCGACACAGTGGGGTGTGCTCACTTTGCCTTGCATCAGAGGTGGAACCCTGCCACCAGTCAGAGCGGTGCTACAACAGGATGTTTGCAGGCGTCTACGGCGTCGACATGCACGATGGCAAGCAAGCGCACCGTTCAGAGGCCTCCACCAGACTTCTCGAGCCCGCTGCAGTCAGCAAGCAAAAGATCCGAGGTCCCTTCCCTAGAAGGTCTGCGCTGTCTGCCCTCAATAGTGCTTGTTTGCATTGCGCCACCCGCAGAAGCAGGAGTGGCCTTGTGTTCGGATTGGAACCCAGCATTGCTTTCCACTAGACTCCTCGCGCCCGCTGCGGTCAACAAGCAGAAGGTCTCAGATCCCTTTCTAAAAGGTCTGCGCCTTCACAGAAGCACCTTAGTTAGGGTTCTGTAGAAGAGCTCTATGACGCCAAAGGCGAGATAAAGGTGGTCTCAGGGCTTGTCATGCCAGCCGGCGCTTGATTGCTTTGCGCTGAGGACAGCACGATCTCGTTGTTGCAGCTGGCTGTTACACTAAGCTCTAAACCTAAATCATAAATCCCGTCCCTAGAAGGTCTGCGTCTTCACAGAAGCACATCGGGGTTAGAAGAGTTGTATGACGCCAAGGCGAGATAATGGCGACTGCAGGGCTCATGCCAGCCGGCGCTTGATTGCTTTGCGCGGAGGATGCCGCCTTCTCAGAAGCACTGCCGGCCTGCAGGAGGCAGACTTCGGCTAGCATCGAGTCGCAGCGGTGCAGCATTTTCAGTCGCGCATTGCGGCTACAACAGGATGTTCGCAGGCGTCTACATGCACGAAGGCAAACAAGCGCACCGTTCAGAGGCCTCGTCTAGTCTTGCCCGCTGCAGGCAACAAGCAGAAGATCTGCGATCCCTTCCCTAGAAAGTCTGCGTTTTTAAGATGCCAAGGCGATATAGAGCTAGTGTGGACAGGCGTGGATGCTGGCAGTTCTTCCTTCAGTGCCGACACAGTGGGGTGTGCTCACTTTGCCTTGCATCAGAGGTGGAACCCTGCCACCAGTCAGAGCGGTGCTACAACAGGATGTTTGCAGGCGTCTACGGCGTCGACATGCACGATGGCAAGCAAGCGCACCGTTCAGAGGCCTCCACCAGACTTCTCGAGCCCGCTGCAGTCAGCAAGCAAAAGATCCGAGGTCCCTTCCCTAGAAGCACATCGGGAGTCTGTTTGATGCCAAGGCGAGATAATGGTGACCGCAGGGCTCATGCCAGCCGGCGCTTGACTGCTTTGCTCCGAGGACACCGCCTTCTCAGAAGCACTGCCGGCCTGCAGGAGGCAGACTTCGGCTAGCATCGAGTCGCAGCGGTGCAGCATTTTCAGTCGCGCATTGCGGCTACAACAGGATGTTCGCAGGTCTCCTTGCTGGCTGCGTGCTTTCTGAGGGTCTGACAGCCTTGCCCGAGAGTGGAGCAGCCGGCGTCTGCGCTTGCGTCTGTCAAGCTCTGCAGCCCGGTCCAATCAGTGCCCCTCTGCCGTAGTCTGCGTAGCCTGTTTTGCCTGTCAACCAGAAGGGCTGGCGTGGCCGCGTGTAGGGCATAGGACCTTGTGGACTCATGGACTGACTCTATCTTCTGAAACAGGATATTTGCAGGTGTCTACATGCACGATGGCAAGCAAGCGCACCCTAGAAGGTCCGCGCCTTCACAGAAACGCATCGGGGTTCTGTAGAAGAGTTCGATGATGCCAAGGCGAGATAATTCTGATCGCAAGGCTGTTCATGCCCACTGGCGCTTGCTTTCTTTGTGAGGACACCACGTTCACGTTGCATCCCGTTGTGACAGGCAGCGTTGCCACAGCAACCCCAGACGAAGCAAGCAACTGTCCTGCAAGATTCGCACAAGGGCACGCAAGGGCGACGGCGACTTGAGGGCAAGGCAAAATAAACCATAGCCCGGATCATAGCCCTGTGTGGCTGCTCCAGTCGTGAAGCAGTAACCCAATTTGGCATCCGCAATAGGGTACTTTCTTACCCACATAAGTGGCCTCCTAGAGCTTTACAAGGATCCTCGCTCAACTCCGGCTTCTTGCGTGGCCGCTCTCGCTGCAAATCTCTGCTCAAAGGTCCCGCAAGGCTCTGACCGCAGGCAGTTTTGCCAGGTCACTTTGCCGCGCTTTGCCGCGCTTTGCCGCGCTTTGCCGCGCTTTGCCGCGCTCCATTGACCAGCGAGCCCGGATAAGAGCTTTCGGGATGCAGTGGCAGCACATCTGCTCGGAGCTACCGACTGAGCCCTGATCCGGCCACTGCTTCTGTGCATCCTTTTCTGGCCCAGTACCCATCTGGGCCAGTTCGGTGCGCGATGGGCTTTTCCACACAGTTCTCCCGCTTGCATTCCTCTGTACCCTGCCGCTGGAACCGCACCGCCTCCACCGCCTCGGGCTCCCCCCGCCTGCCAACAGCCAGCGAGTGTTAGGGGGGCCAAGGCCTTGAAGATTCATGGGGCGCGATGTGTTTGTCCGAGGCGTGGCGTAAGCGTGGTTTGCGCATTGACTTCAAGTGGCTTGGGACTTTTGCCGCCTTTCCTCAGGCTGGAGCTCTGTAGACGCTTGATCAGTCTTGTTGTGCTGGAATGGGCAGCGGATGTGGTACGCCCCATTCTAGGATGTGCTGGTTGCAGCAGGAGAGGCAGGGGCAACAAGGGCATCAAGCCTTTGGCAGATCTTGGTTGCAGATCACACGGGCTTAAGGTCTGGTAACAGGGTTTCAGCTTAGGACGAAGGCTGACGCTCATGGCACAAATCTGTGCATCGGGCATGCTTTCACAAGAGAGTGGACATGCTCGCACTCTCACATGGGTGTGGCTTCTCTGTAGCTTAATGAGCCCGTACAATCCTGACAATGCAAACCTGGTTTGCATTCCGGGCACGCTACCGCTAGTCGGCCGGTTCATGGCCACGGCGAACGGCCTGCAAGATTGCAAGATCAGGGCGTAACATGCCCTGAGCCAAGTGCCTTGATGGCCTGTCACAAAGTCCCCCGTCACATCATCGTTATTTTGGGGGCTGATGCGAAGGGCCTGGCATCTCCAATCACCCAGTCTTCCGGTGAGCGGCAGGTCGGTTCGCCGTTTGAAGGTTGAAATATTTGAGTTGAGGCGTGTCCGGCGGGCCGCGACTGTCTCCCTCTCCTGTGCAGAGCTCTCAAAGATGCTGCGAAACATAAGCCAGAACTATCAGACGACTGAAGTCGACCTAGAATCCCAAATCAGTAGTAGGATGTGGCAGTTGATCGGCACCCCTAAACCGCCTAAACCCTCTAACATGCCCAGTCGGACATTTGCAACAGCTCTGCTACAGCGCTCGGCCTACTGTGGTGCCTCAGCTGAAAGGTGGGTGGAATTTGGCGTAAGTCGGTGTAAGTGGGTACGACAAGGAGGCGGGCGCCCGGCGGCTCCGCTCCTGAGCGTCTTTCTTGCAGGGAGCGAGGGTTTAGGGCAGCTTGGGGAGAGCAGTGTAGCAGGCATGTGCCACTCAGCCGTGGAGTTGAACAAAGACTGCTAATAGAAAAAGTCTCAACACCACAGGCCGCTCCCCCCGCCAGAGAGTGTCAGGACTGCTCGTGATAGGGCCCTTGTACCATTCAAGGGGCCTTTGCTCCCCCTCTTAGCTCGGGGCGCTGTTCTCCCTGTTCCCCCTGTTCTCCCTGAATTCTAAAGGCTCCAAACACCGCTGCCGTGAGAAGGCCACGCCTCGCGAGCCAAACCGCAGGTTGACCAGGGCCAAAGGGGGGAGCCAAAGCCCCACGTTGCACTGCTGTGGCCGCGCCTTAAAACGTTTGGACTGGGCTAAACATGTCTTCATGTCTTTCACATGAGGTTTGCGGTGGACATCCATCAAGACACGCTGGCACCTTGGTTGTGATGTGCTCCAGTCGGCCATAACAACCTGCGGCACTGTTTTCCGCCACAGTATTGCGCGGAAAGGTGCCAGTCCTGCCCAGTAAGCTCGCAAATGGCTTGCCTTCAGGGCCTTTGAGTGTTACGACTCTGCTAGATGCCAGAATTACACAAGCATTACTTCCAGAGGTGTGACAGCCAGGTAATGGGGCAGGTCAAGAGTGGAGAGTCTGTGCATGGGTTGCAGGGCATTCGCGAGATGTCAAAGCTTCCGCCCGGATAGGCCACGTCTTTTCAGACATGGCCAACACTGCTGTTCTTAACGTTATCAGCAGCCTTTCCACTTTGCATTCTCAGCAAGTTTTCTACTTTTCTGTTTAGCTTAGACTGCCGTGCCAAAAGAGCACCGGACGCTTGCTCAAGTGAGCTCGTGGCAAATTGGCAGCGAACGTCTCTAGAGTTCTCCTCTGCTAGCACAAAGCAGATCTATGCACGTGCCTTGTCCACACGCTGAAACCTTCTCCCCCGATTCCATGTGAGGCCATTGAACATTGATAAATTCCAGCAAGTTCCGGCATCGTGTTTGTAGCACTTCTGAGATCCTGCTGCAGAATGATGATCCACTGCTGTTGCAAACTCGAAGTGAGCTTCCGGGATTTGGGCCGAGAGGACTCGGCCAGGCTCAGGCGCGCTGCGCCACGCGGCCGGCCATGCATCTGCCCCCGCGGCTCAGGGCTGTGACCGGGCAGGTTCGCCAAGAGACCGGAAGCGCCTGGAACAGAGGTGCCGCGAATTCATTGAATGGGTCCATGTCCATGTGCACTAGTCTAACACGAGAGCCGGCACGATCCACGCCGGCGGCTGATTCCGACTTTGCAATCTTGACGCCACGCAAGCCTCGGACACCGTCGGATTGCTTCTCAGGTTAGTCATCATGATTAAACATGGGATCCGCAGATGCGATGTTTCGAAGGTCCGATTTCACAAGAAGCCTCCAAGTGCCGTGGCGGCTTTGCCCGCGGCTGTGAAAGGGGAAGTTCGCCAGACTCCGCTGGAGCAAAGGTGCTGTGCGTCCATGTCCATGTGGACCCTGTAACACGAGAGCCGGCATGCTCCCGAATTGGTGTTCTTTCCGCGCCTGCGGCTGATTCCGACTTTGCAATCTTGACACCACACAAGCCTCTGACACCTTCGGATTGCTTCTCAAGTTAGCCATGATTAAACATGGGATCCACAGATGCGGTGTTTCGAAGGTCAGATTTCACAAGAAGCCTCCAAGTGACGTGGCGGCTTTGCCCACGGCTGTGAAAGGGGAAGTTCGCCAGACTCCGCTGGAGCAAACGTCCAGGTGCGGTGCGTCCATGTCCATGTGGATGCTGTAACACGAGAGCCGGCATGCTCCCAAATTGGTGTTCTTTCCGCGCCTGCGGCTGATTCCGACTTTGCAATCTTGACACCACACAAGCCTCTGACACCTTTTAAATATGGGATCCACAGATGCGGTGCTTCGAAGGTCAGATTTCACAAGAAGTCTCCAAGTGCCGTGGCGGCTTTGCCCGCGGCGGTGAACGGGCAAGTTCGCCAGACTCCTCTGGATCAAAGGTGCTCTGCGTCCAGGTGCTGTGCGTCCACGTGCGTGCGCACCCTGCAACACGAGAGCCGGCGTGCTCCCGAATTGGTGTTCTTTCCGCGCCTGCGGCTGAGTCCGACTTTGCAATCTTGACGCCACACAAGCCTCTGACACCACCGGATTGCTTCTCAAGTTCGTCATGATTAAACATGGGATCCGCAGATGCGGTGTTTCGAAGGTCATGTTTCGCAAGAAACCTTGACGCGGTAGCTCTTCGCAGACTCGTGGCAAATTCTTTGTTGCATGTTCCTTGCTCGTTGAGGCATGTCGAGCCCACCTGACATGCACGAAGGACGCTTGGTCAGTGCATTGGCCATACAAGCAGGGCCCAAATCCAGGTGCCCTGCGTGGCATGTGCCTGTCCGTGTCAATGTCATGCGGCTTGACCAGCATCCTGAATCGCAGCAACGTGAAGCTCGCTTAAGGGGCTGGCGAGCATGGCTTCTGCCAGAGTGCACCCATTTGTGCGAGGAGCACCAGGACTCCGCTCTTTCACCACATTCTAAGCGTCCTGAATCACTGATGTGGAAAGTGGAAAGGACCACGGCTCTGTCCACAACACTGCGGCTGTCCGGCAGGAAACAGCCATACGTTTCACAGAGGGAACGCCGTAGCACTGTCAGCTCCTTGAACCGGAACACCCTATTCTAGAGGGAGTGTCAAGCTTCGATCTAAGCATCATTGGGCGCCACAGCGTGAGTTATCATGAGAAGGACATGCAGTCTGTGTTCCTGGCAGTGTTTCTGTTGCTTGTCAGCGCAGGATGCCCAAACGTGAAAGAAGCAGGCAAGTTAGAAGGCACCAACCTAAAACTACCAGTGCAGTTGCACTGTGCACTCCGCCCCTTCACCGCATTCCAAGCGTCCTAAACCACTGATGTGGACAGGACCGCAGATCTGTCCACAACACCGCGGCCGTCCGGCAGGAAGCATGCCACGCCTTAGCAGTGTCAGCAAGGGGGTGTCCCTGAACCAGAACACCCTATTCTAGAGGCAGTGTCAAGCATTTGCTTGATGTACCTTCAGCCGTGGAAGCAAGGAAGAGAGAGAAAGAAAGAGACGACGGCATTCATCCGCATTCATCTGCATACAGCTTTTCGGAGCTTTGATCCAAGCATCACTTCGCTCGAGCACCACAGCCGACGATGACAACCCATGATCGACTGACACGTCTTCAACATCATTTCCCAGAAGAATTTTGTTCTTTCGCTCACACCAGCCTCCACTACCCCCTACCCCCCCTCACTCACCCCCTGAGTTCTTAGTGGCGCAAAGGCCTGGTTTTTGCCAACCCATGTGTTCGAGGAGCACCAGGTGAGCCATCATGAGAAGGACATGCAGGCTGTGTTCCTGGCACTTTTTCTGTTTCTTGTCAGCGCAGGATGCCCAAACGTGAAAGAAGCAGGCAAGTCAGAAGGCACCAACCTAAAACTACCAGTGCAGTTGCACTGTGCACTCCGCCCCTTCACCGCATTCCAAGCGTCCTAAACCACTGATGTGGACAGGACCGCAGATCTGTCCACAACACCGCGGCCGTCCGGCAGGAAGCATGCCACGCCTTAGCAGTGTCAGCAAGGGGGTGTCCCTGAACCAGAACACCCTATTCTGCGCTGGCTAGAGACCCTTTGCGCCGGGCTGGATTGCACAAACGCAGCCGATGCAGTTGCCCCGCCAGGAAACGGACCAGGATGGCTCAAAGAGGCCACTTGAATTCTGAAGGCAGGTGCGCTACCACCTTCAATGGGAGGTGCAACATCAAGCGTCGGAAAGCAGCCTAGCTGCATGTTATGCACACAGTGCCAACTCAACAGACCCACAATCCGCACGGTGCCCGAGTAGAGTTCCAGATGTGAAGTTCGGGAATGCGCCGTGAGAAAGCGTCGCCGACGGCGAAAGCAGCCAAGATGGACACATCAGCAGGCCAAACAAGGGGGGGGGACTCCCATAGGGACTCCCTCTAAGTCCCTCTAAACTATTCTGCTGATATGCACTAGGGCTTTTTTTGCGTCGGGATGCCAGAAGGATTCAGGAATCTCAGGCTACGATCATTTCTACCAGCGATACCGGCTGCTTGCACATCTTGCGACGGGGTGCAGCCCGTAAGCGGCTTCAGGCACCATCCTCGAACCGCAAGCAGAGCTTTGTGCCAATGTGCTGCAGAGCAGATAATGGGACCATGGAGAGAAGCCGCCGGCTCAGAGTATTCCGTATTGAATCGAAAACTCAAAAGATGCTGTCGAGACATGATGTCGTGGGATGTTCTTGAATTCACTTGCGTGGGCAATCAACGGCTTCGGGATCTGTTCGGCACATAGACGGAAAGTTCTGGCTTGACGGGGGGGGGGGGGGGGGGTCCATAAATAGTAGAATTTAAACACCATCCGACGAGAATGGGGCGGGGGATCAGAACGGAACGTGTTTGGCTATAGAATATATAGTTAATGGCGAAATATGAAGCTGTGCAAGATGTGAGAGAACCTTATATAGTAATATCAAAGATGGATGGAATTGATAGTGCCAATCGAATATATTCGGTTAGATTATGCATTATATTATAGTATGATATGTACATACATATATATATATATATATATTTACATACATATATATATATATATATGCATATACATATATAGATATACTATGCGGATGTAAAGGATTTCTCATAAATCGAATTAGAGAATGGATGCGAGAAGAAGAAGAAGCAAGTTTGTGTCGTGCACAATCGCAGCGCCCAAGAATCTAGGAAAAAACGTTCAATTCTCGGGTTCAAGGGTCTCGGACGTCAGTGCTGCCAAACTCATCGCGCCCCTGCATCCGTAGCATTCGGGAAAGCGGCTCAATGGAGGCAAGCTAGTGGCCGCTTTGTCGCGGAAGATGGGACTTCCACCTGTGATCTGGTCAACGGGAGGTCTCCATGTTGATAAGAGGGTCCAACAATCCAGCTGCACTAGCAATTTCATGTATGAAGGATGTGTTCAAAGACTTGCCTGAAAATTTGCCTGCCAGGTGTGCTCGCCTTGGCAGTATGCAGGAGCAGGCTAGCTGCCTGGGGTCGGCTTCGAGGGGCCTTCCGGACTCGACACAACAATTTCCAAGGATTTCTGCGAGCTTTGGAGGCGTTCATTTCAAGTCGCATCCAGCGCGAAGAGAGAGACGATCGCTCTGAGTTCACGATCAACTACAAACTTCTCTTCGATGCAGACCCCTGGGCCGGGTGGAAGTGCTGGAAGCTTGTCTTCATCATGTTGCAGGCTATCACATCGGGGTCAATGGCATCATGCATCACATCAGTACTCCCGTGGCGCTGGAGATGCCCTCCGTGATACAACAAGATTGGTTAAAGTTCCTGACGCTGGCTTGCCTGGTGGTTGCTCTGTTGCTCTGTGTCAGCCGATGCCTTGACCCATTGCTGGTAGCATTCGAGAAGGCCTGGCTTGGGAAAGAGATTATGTCCGCGAGTTAATTTACATTGAAGAGGTGGCTCGTGCTCCATTGCAAGCTGCCGTGGATCTCGAGGCGGAGTTTCGCTCTGCACAGGGTTCTGTCTTTGATGGTTCGGAGCTGCGCTCCCTCCAGCATATCTCCGAGACGGGTGCAGAGCAGCGTCCAAATGCTGTGGAGACAGGCGTGATAGCTGAGACCCCGGGCGTGGAACAGCTGCAGCTCCACGATCCTCCGATGTACCGAGGCCACTTTTGGGGGGAGCTGCTGCACTGTTTTCGGAGGCCGCTCCCTGGTTTAGGTGCTCGACTGAGAATGGAATGTCAACCTCTTAATATGACGCAGTGCTCGACAATACAGATATCAAGATGCTGATCGTGCTTCATATCAGTGTGTGATTGAAAGTACCATGCATGAAATTCGACGTCAGGTTGGGCAAGTATTCAATGACTGGTGAGGCTTCCACAAGAGCCCTTAGAGAACCACCAAACCTGCTTCCAGTGACATGCAAAAGACCTCAGTTTACGGCCAGACCTTGGGGGACCTCCTCAGGCCGTTGGGAACTTGCTGTGGCAGATGAGCCTGAGAGCCATTCTGTTCCTTCCAGGAATAGGACGTGACAGGAGGGGCCAGCCTGAGTAGAGCTCGAACCGCCCCCACTCTTTGGCTTTGGTGCTCTAGTGACGGTCCTTCATGTGTTGGGAGGTATCTTAGAACATCCTAGACAAGCAGAGCGTCATACTTCTCACAGTTCGAAGCGTTTCGAAAGTCTATCGAAATGGACAGACGCCATGGGGGCCACGAGATGCCCCTGGCAAAGTGCAGGCAGCCTGCGCATCCCAGACCTCCGCCGCAGTGCCGGCGAAGTGATGTTGATGAGGTGGAAAAGCCCTCCTTGGGATTATTTCCTGTTCGAGCTTGAAAGCTTCTTGCTGCAAACATGATATACCAGCATCCCCTTGTGCCGGGCTATTCTGGTGAATCAGCTTTCTCCACGGTTAGAACTGCAGACCCAGTTGGGGGGGCACCGACAGCAGCTGTCGTAACAGAGTTTCGTACTTGGAGTTCGCTCCTTTTGCAGCAGGCCTTGTGAGGAACCGTTCTTTCGGTAGCATCGGGCTCCACAAGTGGTATCCCCTGAACTTTCGGGGAATGGAGGAGTTCAATCCGGAATTTTGGGGTTTCCGGATCAGAACCTGGGAACTCTGCTTAAGATCCACTTTGTCACATCCTCCGCTGTGGGCAGGCCCGTACTCGAAAGCCGTATAGAAGGACTTTCGGCCCAAGATATCATCCTATTTTTAGAGATGGTGTTCGCTCCCTCGCCGTGCGTCCTTCATGTGCACACGGTGGCCTTGTCGCAAGCACGTGTCACTTTGCACAGCGACAGGCGATGGGAGGACCGCAGAGGTACTGGCTGGGGCAGCTTGACGTTGACACTGGGGCTATTTTAAAGCCAGTATTAACTTTCCATTGGTTCTAATCCTTCTAAAACCCTAAAAACCCATAGAATGTCATAAATTCTTCGAGGGCCCCGAATCCCCCCTAGGACAGCTGGGGCAGTGGCCGCTATGGTAGAAGGCAGAGCCAGGACAGCCGGGCCATCGAGGCGTGGCTTGCAGCATTGCCGACGCTCCGGTCAGGAGAGAGAGCCGAAGGCCAAAAGAGCGCGGCCTCTTTTCACTAAGGAAGATTCCTGGCGCATACATGCCATTCTGGGTTTTGGATGTCTGCTTCATGGCCTATTCCGGATTGGTCTTCTGCTGGGTGGAGTTCCAGAAATGGGCTTCAGAGGTGACAGGCTCACGCTGCTGTGTCTGCTGCCGCACCTCCTCCTAAACGCCTCCTCCTTTCAGTTCAAGGTGCCACGAGCGAAAGGCAGATGCGGCGTGCTCATCTGGCAGGAGTATCGCGACCACAATGCAGTCTTCGTGGCACGAGCTATGACTGGACTCCTGGCTGCCTGGCTTGAAGACTACTTTGGCATGGGTCGACTCTGGATGCTGCGCGTGGGTGCTCTGTATGCACAGATGTTTGCTGCAGACAGAGTTTCAAGGCATCACAACTTACCAAGCACCACCCTCGGCGGAGCTATGGACCCACGTTTACGGACGTTCCTGGCCACCTTCCAGTTCTTTGCAACGTCGAATCTGCTATTTGGGCATGGATTTTGGCAGCAATTCTGCGTTGTTTTTGCCATACAGGTCACGGCGTTTACCCTCACGCTGAACCGTTGCAAGCTGATTTCGCCTCGGATGGTTGTGGGCTTCTACACCGTCTTACTGCTTGCGGTGAACCAGCTGGTGCTCGCTGAGCTCTGGGCGACGCACGATTTCACAGTTCCCAGACTGTTTTCTTCAAAATTGTTCTTGAGTTCTTGGTGCCTCTATTCAACAGGGAATTCAGAGGGGAAAAACAACCAGCAAGAGTTTCCGAACTTTTCGTTTTGCGGCTCCAAAGGGCTCTTCAAGGACAGCTAAGGTTCTCCTTTGGGGACTGGCCGCATGCGTCTTGAGACTTGGCCTCCGTCAGAGCAAGTATCGCACCTGGACGACAATCCTACTCTCTGCCGGAGCTCTCCATCTGTGGTCTAAAGGGTTTATAGGGTTTGGGGCTTAGGGGTTTTTGGGGTTCACAGGGTCAATTCAGGGCTTATAGGGTTTATAGGGTTTACAGGGTTTATAGGGTTTATAGGGTTTACAGGGTTTATAGGGTTTATAGGGTTTGTAGTCTTTAGGGTCTCAACGGCTGTTCGGATGAGCAGCAGCGAATCACGCGAAAGCCTTGCAAAAAAAATGAAATCTCAGAGGCTTTGGCATATTTTCAGGCATGAGCTCTGACACCCGAGAAAATAGAAAACCCTGGGAAAACCCTGGGGAATCAAAACAGTAAACCCACAATCCCCGCCCGCTTTTCCAAAAAAAGAAAGTGAAAATAAAGATAATCATAATAATAGTAGTAAAAATGATAGTAATGTTTTTTCTAGAAGTCTTCATTGATTTGCAGTTTGCCGGCAGTCCGTGTGCTTTCCCCGACCTCCCGGCTAGTTCCATGGGGGAGTCCATGTGGTTCACTTGGAGGTTCATGGTACTTATTAACCACTAATAGCTGTACTTAATTAAAACTGTACTTAGAAGCATATTGGGGCTCTTGAGGGGCTTATAAGTGGGTGATAAGTACAGTTATCATTGGTTAAGAAGTACCATGAACCTCTAAGCAAGCAGAGTCCAAGGGTCTCAAGCCCAACCCCAAGGAGGCCTTTGATTGTGGCGAGGCTTCCCCCTTGCCGGAGGTTCTGAATCGCAAGCTTCGTGGTGGTTCAAGAGCCGTGCACATTTTTGTCGAACGCAGTTTTGATTAGAATCCATGTGCGTTGGCTTCAAGGTACCCTAGCGCCAGATGCGAAGGAGCACTTAGCCCCACCAGCGCCCCGCCAGCGCCCCTCCAGTGCCCCGCCAGCGCCCCACCAGCACCAGCAAGGAACAGCGTCCTTTTTTGAAAGCTTGCTTATTTGCGCTTGTTTCACCCCGATGGTGCCCTGGCGTCCACAGGCGCCGGCCTTGCCTCCGCCCAGTTCCTCCGATTGCGAAGATGAGTCGCCTGAGTCACCTGAACGTGAAAGACGGGTCTCCCGCCGAACTTCAGGTTCTTTGCCCTCGGAGCTCCCGGCAGAATTGATCCGAGGCGTACCGCTGGAAGTTTGTCTCCAGTGGTGGGGCACCCATTGGGCCCCCAATGACAGAGACGACTATGGCTTGAGCCAACGTAGCGATTCCATTGATTTTTTCTTGAGCCATGACTGGAAGACAAGCCGATGGTCCAAGACATTGGCTTTACTCATGTTCTTCAACGGCGTACCCGCCGGGCTCGCAACGGTTTGCGCCAGCATCTTGAGCTTCTGGCTGCTCCTGGAACACGCACTCCCAGGAGGTTGGCCCACAGCCAGCATCTCAACATACTGCACCTTTCTGATGGTCTTCTGCTTCTGGCAGCGCATCCGGCGCCTCCTCTGCTGCTACGTGCCCACGGTCTTCCTGGATCGGCTGTGCATTGCGCAACATGATCTTGAGCTCAAGAGGCAAGGGATCCTTGGACTCGCCGGCTTCTTGGGGAAGTCAAGGCAGCTCGTGATCCTCTGGACGCCACGCACATTTAGTCGCCTTTGGTGCACCTTCGAGCTGGCACAATTCCTGGGGCCTGGAAGTGGAAGGCCTGTTACAATAGTACCAGTCGCCATGATGCAATTATTGATGTCGGTCTTCATCGCCAACGGGTGCCTTTGGGCAATGTTTCATGTTTGGCTATACATTGAGGAATCGGATTTGATGGGCCTCAATTCTAGCATGATCTGGATTGTCTTGCTGGCGTCTGCATTTCTTGCACCAGTTCTGATCTTTTGCTGGGTAGTGCAAGTGTCTTTTGGGATGCAGCACTTGCGAGACCTATCGGAATTGGATTTCCAGATGCAGAAGTTCAGCATTCGAAATTCGGAGTGCGCATGCTGCACTTTCGGTCACGTGGACCCTGCCGGGAATCCCATGCTGTGCGACCGATCTTTAGTGTACACAACACTGAGGAGATGGTATGGAGGTGATGGAGAGGATCACCTGGACCGATTTGACGCTGCTGTTCGTGAGCACGTGAGGGTGTCTGTGATGGAAGGCCTTGGCTCCGGCATCCCTCCCGTTCGTTTCATTCTCGTCGTTGCGGTCGTCTCGCCACTCGGCCTCTTGCCACAATATCTCCACATGGGCCTCAACGGCCTCCAGGCTCATGGGGGAGTGTCAGAGGACTGGAAATTCTGGCAGTGGCTTGTGTTTTATCTGCACGTGCCCTTTGTCACACTCTTCCTCTGCTGGCTTGGCGTCAATGCCCCCAGGGTCGGCCTAGCCTTGTCTTTGAAAGTGCGCAAGTGGAAGGCTGTAGTGCTAGTGCTGGTCATGAAGAGCACGTTGCTGGGCTTCTTTTGGATGCCTAGCTTCTTCGCGAGCTTTCCGAAGACGCCTCTGTCGTATGCTGGGGTCTTCACGTATATGTTTGGAGTGCTTCTTGGCTTGTACTCCTGGCAGTACAGATCAGCGTTTGCAAATGCCATCCGCTGTTGAGATCTCTTTTTCACCACCCTTAGACACGTTTTCCAAAACAAAGTCTCCGGAGTCCGGGCTGGTGTACTCACCGGTTCAAACTGGATCCAGAGGTGACACTATGGCTGCGGCCCTGCTATGCCACGCTCAATTGAGCATCAGCACCCAGTACTTTGGGAGCGGAAAAAGAACGCTGCTTCGCAAAGCCTCTTCCTAAGGTCGGTTATCTGGAGCCTACCAAGGCAGCCCTGGAGGAGTTTGGTTCTTCCCGTCTTGGGCTCAGGGCTGCTGGGCTGGCCCTAGGGGGCCCTAATGCTACCGCAGCTCCCCAGACCCAAGATGCCCTGGGGGCTCCTGCCCCGCTTCCTTGTGGGCCTGGCAGCTCAGGATGAGGGCTTAGGTTTTACGATATATTCCTTGGGAATTATGTGTTTTTGTTCATATAAAACCCAAGGGTCCGGGTTTTTTTTTTTGCAAAGGTGTGGCTCGGCCCTGTCCCCTTGCAAAGGTGTGGCTTGGCTTGGCTTGGCTGGGCGTGTCCTCTGACCTGGCTTGGCTCGGCTTGTCTGGCTTGGCTTGGCTTTGGTTGGCTTGGCTCGGCTTGGCTTGGCTCGGCTCGGCTGGGCTTGGCTTGGCTTGGCTCGGCTTGTCCTCTGGCTTGGCTTGGCTCGGCTTGGCTTTCGTTGGCTTGGCTCCTTGGCTTGGCTTGGCTCGGGTGGGCTCGGCTCGGCTTGGCTTGGCTTGGCCTGGCTGGCTTGGCTTGGCTCGGCGTGGCTTGGCTCGGCTTGGCCTGGCTTGGGTGCCGACTTCGTTTTGATTTCCCTGTTCTCCCCAGTCGCAAAGATTCTTTTTAGCGCGATGTAGCTGTAGCTGGTAGAAATACGTGGAGTGTATATATGTAGTATGCGCAAGCATTGAGTTTGCAAATGGCTGCGCCCCCCCAACCCCCCCGCTTTTTTAAGCCGTGCAAGCTTGCGTCAAAGCATATGAGTCTTGTTGAAACCCATGATGCAAGCATTGAGTTTGCAAATGGGGGGGGCTGCGCCCCCCCCAACCCCCCCGCTTTTTTTGAGCCGTGCAAGCTTGCGTCAAAGCATATGATTCTTGTTGAAACCCATGATGCAAGCATTGAGTTTGCAAATGGGGGGGGCTGCGCCCCCCCCAACCCCCCCGCTTTTTTTGAGCCGTGCAAGCTTGCGTCAAAGCATATGAGTCTTGTTGAAACCCATGATGCAAGCATTGAGTTTGCAAATGGGGGGGGCTGCGCCCCCCCCAACCCCCCCGCTTTTTTAAGCCGTGCAAGCTTGCGTCAAAGCATATGAGTCTTGTTGAAACCCATGATGCAAGCATTAAGTTTGCAAATGGCCCCCCCGGTGTTGGAACCCATGATGCAAGCATTGAGTTTGCAAATGGGGGGGGCTGCGCCCCCCCCAACCCCCCCGCTTTTTTAAGCCGTGCAAGCTTGCATCAAAGCATAAGAGTCTTTTTGAAACCCATGATGCAAGCATTGAGTTTTCAAATGGGGGGGGGCTGCGCCCCCCCAACCCCCCGCTTCTGAAAGCCGTGCAAGCTTGTTTCAAAGCATATGAGTTTTTTTGAAACCTAGAGGCAAGCATTGAGTTTGCAAATAAGGGGGAGGGAGTCGGGGTGGTGAGAGTGGGGGGTGGGGGGGAGTGGGGAGGGGGGTGGGGGGGGGGGGGGGGGGGGGGGGGGGGGGGGGGGTGGTGGGGGGGTGGGGGGTGGGGGGGCGGGGTGGGGGGGCGGGGGGGGTGGGGGGGGGGGGTGTGGGTGGGTGTGGGTGGAGGGGAAGGGGGTTACCGAGCCACACCTTTGCAAGAGGACAGGGCCGAGCCACACCTTTGCAAAAAAAAAAACCCTCCGCCTAAAACCCAAGAGGAGATTAAAAACACTATCTTCAATAAGGTTCTAAGGGGAGTATAGTTTAGGGGGTGGGTTCTTGGTTGTTTTTGGGAAGGGCGCGGTGAGCCCACTTGAATGTCGTTTTAGGCATAGCCACAGGGCAGCCATCAGTGCGGCCGTCGTGCCCTAACGTTCAACTGTGGAAGACGCGTTGTGATACCACGACGCGCATGGTTGCCATGAACGGCGCATTGCAGCACTCCTAGGCAACCTTTGACCGGCTTTGCTTTCGGTTGCGCACGGAACGGTTCACAGCAACATTGCAGAGAGCATCATCTTGCTACAGAATTCTTTCGTCGAAGCCGGAGTGTCGAGTACACATGTGTCTATTCCCTTCGGAGGCTCCGATGGGTCTTGCCCATGATGCTTTCGCATGCGAAAGCGCACACGCGTCAGCGCACAGCCGCGGTCTTGCAGGCCTTTGAAAGCCTGGCGGGGTGTTCTCAAAGTTATTCTTGCTCCTTTGAGTAATAACCTCTGGCATTTTCTGGATCAGGGTGTGGTTTGATTGAATGTGGTGTTTAGGCTTTTTTCACATCAGACTGCTCACATTGCTCACCTGGAATTTGCCTTTCGAGGGTGGCGTATGATTCGGGTTATCAAGTTGATAGCGGAGGAGGTGGTCCTGGCTTGGGCTTTTATGGTACACTCAGACCTATGGCTATGGCCTATGGCTATGGCTATTCTTGACTCCGCCTGCCGCAGCAGATTTCGGATATGAATTCTGAACGAGCAGAGACATGTACCCACGTTTTGCACGTCCTCATAGAAGGTTGCGTAGGAAGTGACCCTAGACAGCCAGTCCTTCCGAGGAAGCTACCTGGGACAACTCCTAAAACCCTAAGCCCTAAACCCCAAACCCTAAACCCTAAAACCCAAACCCTAAACCCTAATAGACCCTAAAACCCCATTGAGGGAATGCCACCTATGAGGGGTTAACACCAATATGTCTGGGATGGCGACGCTGCCGCGTGCATTCTGCGTCTGTGTGCCTGGACCTTTCTCGTTCTTTTTTTGGGGCATAGGGTTTAGGGTTTAGGGTGACCCCCTTGGGTAAAATGAACATGGAGTATAAGAGGCTCATATGACTATTTAGGTCCAGAGTCTATCCTAAACCCAAAACCCTATACCTCAAACCCTGAGCCCCAAAATCCCGCAAAGGGGGATAATAGGATTTTCGATGGCACGCACACAAAGGTACTAATCAGCTGGGCAGCTGCTGATCCGAATGAAAACTTGGCCTGAAACAGCTCTTGCCATTTAGGAGTTGGAGCTTAGGGTTAGAAATGGACCTACTAAACCCTAAGCCCTTAGCCCTAAACCCTAAACCCTCAACCCTAAACCCTAAATTCCCACCCGGCCTGCTTAGGCCGTACCCACCCTATACTAGGGCGCCTGGACCCAGAATTATACCCGGCAGCGAGATACACCTTTACTGGATGGACAATGGGTGGTGACATTGGAGAGTGGTCGAATACAGCCCCTAGGGCTGAGCCTTGCTTTAGGACCACTCAAGTGGTGCCTTGTATTTACAAGTGCAACCCCCATGATCCTCCTCTTGATGAGAATACCCTAAAGCCTGTGGCAAAAGCCTTCGGTGGTGTTTTGTTGGGGCGTACCTTTCCAGAGCCCAAAAAGGGTTTTTGGAACCTCCTCCCCTGACCCTCCCGTGGCCCTCTGGCCCCCTCTGGCCCCCCCCCCCCGGCCCCCCCTGACCCCCCCCGCTGACCCCTGCCGCAGAGCCTTTGCTTGGCCCGCCTGCCTGACCCCTTTTTGGCCTCCCTACCCTCCCCTGCCCCCCCTGACCCCGCCCCTTGGCCCCGCCTGGCCCCCTGTGGCCCCCTTCACCCCCCTCGTTGATTTCTGCGACGGCCTCCCCCCCAATCCGGACCCTTACCCCTAACCCTCCTAACCCCTGACCCCCCTGACCCTCCGTGCCCCCCCCCCCCCTGGCCCTTCCCCGGCTTCGTCCTTTGTCTGCACAAAAATGTTTGGTTTCATCGAGATTTGAATCGTTTTCATGGTGGGAATTGAGGGCGACAGCCCTAAAGGTAGTGGTTTGGGTGGTGGCCTGTGAAAGCTCACAGCGGGTGGGGAGAAAGAACCCAGCACCAATGAAATTGTTGGATTACATTGAAAACAGATGCCTTCGCGTGACATGCCGCCCCCCTGTCACACCCCCTGGGTGTGTAGGGGCGCCATTTACACATGGTACTTACTGCCGCTGCGCGGCGAGACGCCCTAAACCCTAAACCCTAAACCCTAAACCCTAAACCCTAAACCCTAAACCCTAAACCCTAAACCCTAAACCCTAAACCCTAAACCCTAAACCCTAAACCCTAACCTTAAACCCTAAACCCTAAACCCTAAACCCTAAACCCTAAACCCTAAACCCTAAACCCTAACCCTAAACCCTAAACCCTAAACCCTAAACCCTAAACCCTAAACCCTAAACCCTAAACCCTAAACCCTAAACCCTAAACCCTAAACCCTAAACCCTAAACCCTAAACCCTAAACCCTAAACCCTAAACCCTAAACCCTAAACCCTAAACCCTAAACCCTAAACCCTAAACCCTAAACCCTAAACCCTAAACCCTAAACCCTAAACCCTAACCCTAAACCCTAAACCCTAAACCCTAAACCTGGGGTTTAAGGGTTGGGGTTTGACCAAGAGTGGACTTGCAACCCCAGCATCACAAAACCCTCTCGGGGGTTAGATCCCTTGACCCCTAGTGTTTAGAGTACTCCCTGGGGTTTAGGGTTTAGGGGAGGAAGTTCGGGTTTTATTGCGTGTCCGGGCGCAGTTCCGTTGCTTCCAGCCTTGGGCGGGCAGAAGTTCAGATCACCCTCCGCAGCTTCTGCTGTTAACCCTATTTAGAGGTTCATGGTACTTATTAGCCAGTTGTAACTGTACTTATAAATATAAATGTACTTATAAGCATATTAGGGCACTTAAGGGGCTTACAAGTGGGTGTTATAAGAACCCTATATGCCCCAAACCTGACAAGGGACAGTCCATGCACGAGTGCCTCTTGTTGAAGGGGCCCATGTCAGCTTCAACCGCTAGAAGTGCAAGATACGTATGGCATGAACTACGCTTCAGGGCACGCCCTGTAACTACGGGGATTAAAATGACTAAATCCCGCTAGGCTTTTGGGTAGTCGCAATTGCAGCGAAGCCCACGTGACCCTGAAAGCTGAACCCGAGAAACCCCAACCTTGACCGCTCCCGCCTTCCCAACACGAAACCCTGCTCGGAGGTTCATGGTACTGACTGATCAATTAAAACTGTACTTATATTCACCAATAATAACTGCATTTATCACCCGCTTGTAAGCCCCTTAAGTGCCCTCACATGGTTGTACGTACAGTTATAAGTACAGTCTTACTTGGTGAATAAGTACCATGAGCCTCCCTGCAAAGGAGCTCCGAAAGGCTGTCTCTGCTGGCAACGCAACGGAAGCTCAAGCACTACTCGACTCTGGGCAGGTCGATTTCCCTGGAACCAGTGACCTCCAAGTCCAAGGCCGCCATGGTTTAGCAAGAACGTTGAGACTTATAACTACCAAAGATCCTGACCGTAGAAGCCCAGTATCTGTCATGGGGGCTCTATCATGCGGACTAGGTCGCAGCGAGGCCGTCGAGTTAGAAAAGCAGACCACGACCTCCATTCTTCTTTCTACCTTCGAGCCATATAGGGCGGCTTTTGGTTCGAGGGATGCAAGGAGATGTTAGGGGCGACCCTTGAAGACATGTCAAGAAGCAGATCCATTGATGTTCAACCTTTTTTTGAGAACTTGGTCAGGCAGTACTGGCCTGCTCTTCACAGCTGCTGCCCGCGGGCACACAGAGGTCTTGCAGCTACTCCTTGCGAGATGGCCTGAAGGAGCCCAGGCCAGCGATGAGCAGGGCACAACGCCCGTGCACGTGGCGGCCGCACAAGGCCAGGTGAATGCTCTGGAACTTCTATGCAACATGTGGCCCGACGACGTGCTTCCGAAGCTCAACACTGGTTGGACACCTCTGCACGCCGCGGCACACAATGGGCAAGTGGAAGCTTTGAGGCTCCTGCTCTCAAAGTGGCCGCAAGGAGCCCAGGCTTCCACCCATGGAGGTGGGACACCCTTGCACATCGCAGCGAAGTTGGGCCAGTCGGAAGCCTTGAAGCTCCTGCTTGCAAGCTGCTTAGGCAGTGTGGGTTAGTAGATGAGGGAATGAGGCGCCCTAGATCCCCCTATATACACCCTTTAAGGGATTATCTAACCAACAGCACCCTAAACCCTAAACCCTAAGCCCTAAGCCCTAAACCCTAAACCCTCAACCCTAAACCCTCCTAAACCCTAAACCCTAAACCCTAAACCCTAAGTAAGGCTGGCCCCAGTGGGGCTCGGCTGTGCGTGGCAGCTGGACGCCCGTGCATGCCGCCGCATACAGCGGGCAGGTCGAGGTCTTGAGGCTCCTGTTGGAGGACTGGCCGCAAGGCCTCCCTGGGTCTTGAAAACATTTAGGGTTTAGGGTTTTGGGTTTTGGGTTTAGGGTTTAGGGTTTAGGGTTCAGGGTTTAGGGCTACTCATAATTTGCTACATAAATGCCGAAATCTCCCTGTTTTCCATTGACAAGACTGCCCCTCAACACCCTAAAGGCCCTCAAGCACAAACCCCCCCGAGGTGTCCAGGCCAAAGATGAGTACGGCTCGACACCTTTGCTCAAAGCAGCCACCGAGGGCCAGATCGATGCCTTCCATTTCTTATTCCAGAGGCAGCAAGGGGGAAGTGTTTAGGGTTTAGGGTTTAGGGTGTAGGGTTTAGGGTGTAGGGTTTAGGGTTTAGGGTTTAGGGTTTTGGTTCTAAGGGTGTTACTGACACCTAATTTGGGGTTTTAGGCAGTTTTGGGGGCTTCTGCTGCCAGAGGCCAGACGGGGGCCTCCTAGCGTGTTTCTGGGAGGCTTGGGGGGGGGGGGGGGTTTTAGGGCTTGTGCTTTCCGCAGGTGGCCAGCGGGGGTTGATGCCTTTGACAGTACAACAATCACTGGCCTGCCATGTGCCCTGGTGGTTGATGTTGCATGCAACCGCACCTCCAAGAGGAAATGGAAGGATTTAGCCACGGCTCTCCAGTGCGGAAGCCCAGGGAACCTTTCGGAGGCTTCTCTGCAGACCTGGCTTGACTGTGGAGGCGATGTCCTTTGGCGGGACTCGCATGGCTTCGGGCTCTTGTCGGTGTTGGAAGACGATGAGGCAAGGAGACTCCTGAAGGCCCACAGAACCTTCGGGGTCTTGATGCTGGCAGTCCTGAGGGACTGGCGCACCTACACGGTCCTGCTCTCCATGGTGGTTGTAGCCGTGTGTGTCTCAATGCTCGAGAAGCCCCGGGAGCCTCGGACCACAAAAGCCCTCGATGAGGAGCTCTTCTTAGATGGTGCCAAGCTCCTCGTCCAGGCTGGCTTGGGGTGCGCTTCTCAGAGGCTCTGGCGTTGGATCGAATTCTACCTGGCAGTGTTCTGGTTTGGCCTCCCCTTGTTAGTGTCAAGCTGGTTGTGGTGGCTGCCTTTGCTGGCCTTTTCATACATGACCCCAGCGGTTCTGATTTACAGGTGCAGGGCTCCCTACCGTGACTTCGTCCTTACGACTCTCTTCACTGCGGCTCCTGCAAGCCAGACAGCTGCTTTCATCCGCACCTTGGCTCTTGCCGGCCTCTTTGGTCTTGTGGCTCTGGGGCTGTATCCTGTGGCCCCATGGGCTGGAGAAGTGTGGCACGACACTTGGTTCGGCCCATTGCTGCTTGAATGGCAGAACAAGTTGCACAAGGAGTGGGCAACCAGCAGTTTGAGAGACAGCTGGCTGTTCTTTTGGGCACCTCCGGTAACAGCAAGCACCATCTTCTGGGCGTTCTATGCCTGCAGCGCTTGTGTGATGCTGCTATACCTCACCTGCCTGGGTGTAGCCCTTCTGCGAGGTTGCATCTGCCGGAGGGTGCAGGCTAGCAGCATGTGCAAGGCCAAGGACGAGATGGTTTGGGACATTCTGCAGAAGACACCTACCCAGTTTTCACAGGGGAGCTCAGCCATGCAGCCGTGTCGCCGCAGCGGGCTCTGCTTCCGCCTGCTGCTGCATTGGGTCGACACGGTGTTTCACGTCAACAGCCTCCTCATGCTGCTGATGACGCAGCACTACCTGTGCGCGGCCGCAATGGCCTTTGCCATAGCGAGGAGCACGCTCAGACAATTTCGGCACCTAAGACCCTGGCGCCTGCGGCAGGCACATCTATATCTCGCGTGGGAATTATTTTGTTATTCTTGCTGATATAGAAACCCAAGAGGATATTCTAAGGGGAGTATAGACGTAGCGTGGACAACGGAAATAGAGCCTCATGTGCATGGTGGTGTCCCGTTTGCCTTCCGCGAGCACATGTCGATTTTGCGGGAATTGACGAAGTGGTGGCGTGGGGTCCTACATTACACGCCCCACTTCCCTTTAGGGCGTGTCTAGGCCTGTGGGGGGGGTATAGCATAAAGCCCCTGAATGGGAAATAGTAGACCACCTTTTAAGAAGGACCCCAATAAGGTACCCCTAATTTTGGAAACCTTCAAATGGGATTCGTGCGCAGGCCATCCAAGCGAGCCTTGAGCGTGGTCTCCTGCGCAAGGATCTCATCGAGTTCCTCCAGGACGCCTCCCGAGCGCATTGCGCGTGGCACTAGGGCGCCCTTTCCTAGAAGAAGCCCTAGAAAAAGCCTTAAACAGCCCTAAGGTTGCCCCCTTCTAGCTCATCTCCTCAACCCTTGCTCAAGGAGGAGAAGCGCTCTGAGGCTTGTCTCTGCGCGTTCATCACTTGCTACGCCCTGCTCTTCGTGGAGGCTGCGGATCAACTGCTCCTGCTGCTCTGCAGCCTCACTCTCAGCACGTACCGCTACGCGGACTATGCGGTTGCCTGCGATGCCCTGCCGCTGGCTTGAAATGATCCTATCTACACTGCTTAATCCTTATGGAGAACGCCTAGCGAAGCGAATCCGCACCAGCCAAATTGTTCGCAGATGGGGTTGGGGGGTGGGGGGTCAGGTGGGGTCCCTGCGTGGCACATTAGGCACGGACCATTTTTGTGACTTGGCATTTGTTGACGCTTCACCTGCAAGTGTTTCTTCCGCGCTCGGCCCCACAGCGGGGCCGGCGGATCATGCTAAGTTACTTTAAGTGCCTTAACAAGAGCCCAGGCTGGCGCAACCCAGTTCTGTTGGCCCAGCGGCAATCGCAGCCCAGTCGCACATCTGCCCAGAGCCCGGGAACGAGGAGACGCCGCGCGAGCCAAATCACGAGGAAGGTTTCAACGATTATGGAGAGTCCGAGGAGATGTGTGAGTTCGGGATGTAGTGGTCCCTTGCCTGCTCCAGCTGGAAGCTTCGGGAGCCAGCTTAAACTCAAGACCCAAAACGCAACGCGGGTGGTGTTCTGTCGCTTTTGTGGGGGGCCGGGGGGGGCGGGGGGGCGGGGGGAGGGGGAGTGCAGCAAAGACTGTGCGGGGTGAACCCCCGCATACTAAAACCCCAAACCTTAACCCTAGGTAGGGGGATCCCTGGGAGCCCAGGGATGTTGCGGGCCTGCGGCTCGTGCTGAGGAGGACTGGCTTGGTACCAACTGCTGGGCGGAGGGTTTAGGGTTTAGGGATTGGGTTGAGAAGGCTGTAAGGCTTCGGGATGAGGCTTTCGGCTTTAAGTTTTACGTGGATGAGGGTTTAATGTGTAGAGATGCAGGTTTAAGGGTGAGAGAAAGGGCTTAGGTTTAGAGGGTGAGGGGTTATACAGAAGCTGCTGTTCTTGGTGCATTCACGGGTTCCTTTCCCTTTGCTGTGCGCACGGGTGTTGTCGCTATTGTTGATGATGTTGTTGTCGTCATGGCGTGAACATTGCATCAGTTTGTAGCGCATTGGGAATGCTGCTGCTAGCGCAGCTTGGAAACCGGGCCGCTTCTCATGCAATTTTTCGGAGTTTTTGAGACAGGCAAGGCTTAGAGCGCCAACCGAGCAATCTGCCCAGAATTGTATGTACTTGTCCCTGTCGTCACGCTGAAGAGTGTGCGGGTCCAAAATGAGTGTCTGCTTTGCGGTTGAAGCCCAAGCCCGACATGTTGCGAGGACATGGCAGATCCTGTGTCCTCCGAGATGTGAGGGTCTCTCACCTGAACCTCGGTTCCATCAGCAGCGGCCATTCCAATTTCCAGTAGACAAGTACCCATTCAACTCCACATTCGAGGTCGCCCGAAGCCCGACAGCTTGCCAAAAACCTCTCGTCTCACCAGCGCGAGCAAGCCTGCGAGCTTTCGATAAAAGCCGTGAAAGCTCCCGGCACCCTGAACCCCAAAGCTAAGCCCTAAACCCTTCAGACATCTAAATGCCGTATAAATCGTTGAAGCCCTAAAGCTCTCCAGCCCTGAAGGGGGTGGACTCTAACCCCTGGACAGATCTAAAGGGGGCTTAGGGTTTAGGGTTTTTGGGGTTTAGGGTTTAGGGCTTCTCGCCGCGCCGCGGCAGTAGATTCCATGCAGAGATGGCGCCCCAACCCACCTTGCGGGATGTGAGAGGGTGGCATATCTCGCGATGGCGTGTTTTCAATTTGGAAGGGAGGGGGGGGCTTTGGATGGAGGGGCGTGTTTGTGTGGAGGGCTTGTGGATGGAGAGGGGGGGGGTTTGGATGGGGCTTGGGGGGGGGGGCTTGTGAGTGGAGGGGGGGCGGCTTTGGATGGAGGGGGGGTGCTTGTGGATGGAGGGGGGGGGGGGGCTTGTGGATGGAGGGCTTTGGATGGAGGGGTAGGTTGGTGTATTCTGCCCACCCCCTGCTTGCACAGGCATTTCAGTAGCCGTCCAACAGGATGAGCTGCCTGGAGCGAATCGGGGTTCTTTGGCACAAGATCCCTTCATTAGGCAAGAAACCTGAACTCAAAATCGGATTCCTATTGTAGTGAAAGGCGCTTTCCCTAAATCGAGGAATCGAGGGGTCTTGGGCTCCTTGGCGACGTGCCCACGCTACCCAGTAGACCCTGTAACCAAGCTGCTGCCCCGCCCCCCTCCCCCCCCCTTAGGAGCTTCAGTGCTGCGAAAAGTGTCGCAAAAAGGAAGGGCACGAGACTCCTTTCAAAGAGCTGCTTTCCGAAAAGAGCCTGCTAGGAGCATGTCAGAGGCAGCTATGGCACCCATGGGGCGAGGCTTTGGTCCCGTCAAAGCACAGAAATCCACTGCAGGAACGATGAGGACCACATTTCAGCGATTTTTTCGTTCCAAGCTCCAAGGATTGGTTGTTGTCCAGTGAATGGGAGAGGGGATCCGAAGGGGACACGTTCAGGGGTCCTCTCACCGCAGCTTTGCTCGAGCCATTAAAAGGTATATGCCGCCTCAAAATGGTCCAAAATTTGCATCTAATGTCATAAATAGCTGTCATTGATCTCCTCAGTCTTCCTCGCAGTCTTTTTTTGGTGCGCTGTGCCGTCCAGAGGGAACCGTTCTTTGCCGGCGGCACCGTCGAGAATGTAGCACGTTTCGCGTACTTCGTGAATTTCGCACCTTGGCCGTCCAGCGTCCATCCTGGGTCTGTTGTTGCCCCTGCCGGTATTTTGGCCATGTTGGTTTTTTGGTTGTTTTCAGCTCAAGCCGGCATCTGTTCATTTCGCCGCGGTGCAAAAATGCACCCGCATGGCTCCTAAATCTCCAAAAACCATGGGCATGGGGCTTGTGCTATGGCAGCTATGGGGTCCAGAGGAAAACTCCAGTACTTAAGATCCCCAAGCTCGCACGAAGTAGCCCCTGAAACAGGTCCCATTCATTTTTCTTGCGTATACCAAACTCCTAAACCCTAAACCCTGAACCCCGTGAATTAAGCTTGGAATATTTTCTCGACGGAGGGGTTTAAACAACTTGGGAAGGGCTGCCTGAAAGCCACCCGTGGCACCAGCTGTTTCATGGTATTCGAAAGCTTCTGAGCTGAAAGCTGTGTGCCTGCGCTCTGCACTGAGTCAATGTTTCGTGGCCGCGAACCGCATCAAGACTTTGGCAGTTAGATGTCGGGTCGTCCGCGTGAAGTCAGGCATGTGCCAAGTTTCACTTCTGACAACTTAGCGCTCGCTCAGTTGCGTACAACCTGCGTGGGCCATGGAAGCTTGGTCTTCGGCGATTCTTGACATCACAAACTCCTGTCCCAAACTCAGGGCCAGTGAGGCCCAAAATGAACCTAGCCTTTGTTAGCCTTTGTTCTACATTCCTGGCCAGGTCGCAGCCTTTGCGACAATGTTTTGGGCTTGCTCAGTTGCTGTCAGGCACATGCGCGTCATGCGCAAGCTGGCCAAATGAAGTCACATAGCCTCGACACACTGGCGGATCTGACAGGTCTCCGTGGCTGCTGATGAGGCTGGGTTGCGAGCTTCAGCGCGCGATGTCGTATCGGTCAGAAGCAGCCTGTAAGGTCCTGGAGCCATCCACACCATCAGCAAGGCTTCTTCGGCCTTCGACGCCTCCGCTGTCAGAGTCTGAACCTCTTGCCTTGCTGCAGGTGGGAAACGCAGACTACCCTGATTATGCCCACAGGGTGCCCTTCAGCCGAGGCCCAAAAATAGCTTCAGGGACTTGACAGACAGTTGTACACGCTGCGCGTGGACTGCCTTGGCCCGGGCTTGAAAATCGAGAAAGTTCAAAGGGGTCCTCAAAATGCTCGGGGGTTCAAGAGTTTTAAGAGAACCCTAGAATCCCCAGTATTTGGGGGTGAGGACTTTCGCGCCCATGGGCAGGTCAGAGGAATCCAATTCCCAGCATGTGAAGTCCAACAGTATCCCTAAGTTAGCGAGAAGCTTGCGGGACGGGCCATTGAGCATCATTGAGCTTGGGAGTGGCTTGGGCATTGATCTCGTTCCTGACCCTCAGACCAGGCATGCTACCGCACTTCGAAGTCTCAGAATGTATGGATGAAAGCAGCAACGCCATGCTGTCAACGTGGTTGAGAAGCGCGCACGCAGCTCGCTCCACGTGATCTGCGCAGTCAGTAGGTGAGGGTCATAAATGAGGCACCAGGCTCACCCATCGCCTCCAATGATCACTTGTTGTGTGGTTGCCCATTCGTAAGAGCATTGCACAATCCTGAAGGTCTTATGCTTTGTTTCGTCTAGGAATTGGACATCGCGGACTCCGCCCATGCTTTGGCCTGGAAGCCCAGATGCTCTGCATGCTCTGCGCCATGCGACTCATGCGACTCATGCGACTCATGCAGCTGTGAGCCACGACGCTCGCAGGAGCCACAAGGTGTGGAGACATTGACACCCGAGCTCCCTGGCCAAAGGATTTTGCAGGCACCATTGTTCTATAGGTGTTCACGGGTGTTCATGTAAGGTTGTGGGCCGAAATCTCATCGTACTTGCCGGCATCTGCCCTGCGTGCCGATCGCGCCACATCACGCAAGAAAGCCTCGACAGAGGCCGGAGACTCTGTGAATCTGTGGTGTCCGAATTGTGTGCACCGGCCTCCGGCGTCAGGCCCGGGAAGTTGAAGGTTTGTCTGCGCGTGCGGGGTGGGTGAGTGGGGGGCAAGGTGGTCAGGGGGAGCCCGAAGTCCCTGAACCGTTCAGCAACCTCCAAACATGAATGGGGAGGAGTGAAAGAGGGATTTTGTGGGAAGGTCTGAAGCCCAAGGAAACAGAGGCGAATTCTCGGCTGCGGCTCCCTGTTGCCGACAGTTTCGAGGTGTATGTCGCCCAGCTTGCGAAGCTTGTTCAGCCGTTGAGGTGGATCCCCCAGCGCTGATTGCACTGTGCTTGAGGGAGTACGCCTTCGTGATACGTTTGTGATACATTGCAGGCCCGACGTGTTTTTTGCCTTGGCGGATATTCAAGACAGTGACGCCTTGGAACGTGAACAAGCTCTTCAACGTCTTCGCGAGGACGATTTTCAGGTCTACGCCGGAGTCCAAGGCAGCGGTTAGCCTGAAGAACACAGTATGCCGGCGAAGAGCCCAAACAGTAAGATTGTAGAGAAAGGGAAAGCGACGGAAAGCGCGTGAAACAACAACACGACATAAAATTTGACAGGCGTTTAGGGTTACCCTAAACTTCAGTGCCGGCCCCTTACTAGGTGAGTCATGCAGCACCATGAGTCTGAAGCCAAAGGCATAAACATGATTCATGCCGTTCTTGGCCCGAATGAAAAGGAACAAGCCGCAAAAACACCCGATGTTTTCCTAACAGCTGCACTTTCAGAACTCTGTAGAAGTAAACACATATCCCTTAGAGGTTTGTCGTATGTCCCCTCCCTTCGTGCTCGCAGGGTGTAGGCCCTCGCGGTTGGGCCTGAAAGCCCAAGAACCATAATGTGCTTGAAGGGCCCAACGTGCGAGGTTTGAA